AACTACTACATGTTTGAAAACATCGGGAACCACACTTGTCACAATACTACTATTTACAATAGTAAGAACAGAGGGTACAATCGTGGGTAGAACTTGTTTGAAAAACGATGCAGGAATGGGGTCAGCAGGGGAACGGGAGGGTTTCATCTGACCAACGACTTTGTTTAGAAATGGGAGTGAAATGGGTTCAAACTGTTTGAAGACAGCTGAGCAAGGGACAAAGACAGAGGGGTCAGTTGTGGACTGGGGGATGGATGATCTAATCAACTCTACCTTATCAGCAAATTATCTGGTAAAGTTGTTGCAGATGTCAACGGAGGCCTCCATGCTGGCAGACCAAAGCACGTTTAAAATGGAATTTACGGTATTAAAAAGAACACAGGGATTATGATTGTTTGAAGCAATGATTTGGGAGAAGTATTTGTTCTTTTCCGATTTAACGATGCTCTGATAATCTTTCAAACACACTTTTAACACGATAAAAGAAACCTGTAATTTGTCCTTTTTCCACTTACACTCAGCTCTCCTGCATAGACGTTTGGCTGCTCGAGTGGTCACGTTCAACCAGGGGTGTGGTGCCCGCTTTGGTCGCCTGATTTTTAGCGGGGCCACAAGGTCTAAGATCTTAGAGCAGGTCGCATCATGCCTACTGAGCAGCTCCTGCGTACCAATACAGGCAGAGGTTTCAGGGACTGAAGCAGCATCAGTAATGAATGCAGAGGAAAAAAGAGCAGCAAAAAAGAGCAGCAAAAAACAGCAGCGGTTGAAGAGTTAAATATCCGACAACTCTTGGCTGGAGCGGGGGATTTAGACTCATGAATAACAGAGGTTTCGAATGAAATGGGTTTGTGATCTGAAACAATAGCATCCCCAATTTCCAGATTAACCACAAACAATCCGTGAGACAGAACTAAATCAAGTGTATGGCCCTGTTGATGAGTTGGACCAACAACATTTTGCACAAGGTTGAAAGATTGTAGCAGATTTAGAAACTCCTGCACCAAAGGCTTGTCAGGACAGCAAACGTGCACATTAAAGTCCCCCAGAATCAAGACCCAGTTGTAATTGAGCAGTATTCCAGTCAGAAAGTCAGAAAATTCACTTATGAAGTTTTTGTTGTACGAGGGTGGTCTGTAGATCACGCTGCACAGTGTTGAGTTGGAGCAGCCCAGCTCAAAATACAGCAGTTCAAAACTCTGAAAAGCTACAGCCTATAGCGGTCTGCAGTTCCAGAGCTTTTTAAAAACTGTTAATAATCCACCACCCCTACCAGAAGTCCTTGGAGCATTAAAAAAGGCACAATCCACCGGCAACAGTTCAGAAAAAACACAACTCACCAGGGACGAGCCAGGTTTCTGTAACAAACATGAAGTCCAGTCCATTGGAGCAGAAGAAGTTGTTTAAGATAAAAGTTTTATTTGCCAGCGACCCCACATTCAGCAGAGCAATCTTTGTAGGACCAGTAGCTGAAGGAAAAGCTGAACACGGAGCACAGATCAGCTGTTTCAGATTTTTGGAGTTTGAAGCGCCTCCAAGGACCAGAGACGCCGCAGCTGTGCGCGCGTCTGTGGCGCAGGCCAGGCTCAACTACGGGGATCAGGCAGGACCCAGCAGGATCAGCGAAGCACCCGGACAGGTGAATATCCAGCAGATGGTCGGCAGGAGATGATGCAGCAGACAGTCCTGAGTTGGTTAAGTTCCACTGGAGACGACCAAAACCGCCGTGGCTACGCGCGCCTAGTGCCACGCGCGCCCGCTGCCACGCGCGCCCGCTGCGCATACCAGGCCCGGCCGCCTGAAGCGAGCTGGAGTTGAGTGGGTCAGCGAAGCATCCGGATGGACAGTTTAATGTCTGATGGTCAGCAGCAGAGAGCTTGATGCTGGCTTTAATCCTCACGAGACGGCCGGCACGTCTCCCACGGTGCCTGGAGCGATGTTTTCGGGCGGGCAGAAACGCTGCGCGCTTCAGGTAAACGGGCACATCAACAAGCAGAGGGGGTGGGGGTCCAGAGCCCCGATCAAAGTGGTCCAACAAGGCGGGACTTTTGCAATAGATAACTGTATATTTAAAAGTTGTTGGCGATCATAAACAAGCAGTGAGTTGATGTCACCGAAGAAAAATTACAAAAACAGAAAAAAACAATCAAAATAGACAGAGGTGAACGGCAAGCCACCAGCACCAGCGCCATCTTCCCGGAAGTAGAAGTTAAACAACTTTTCCATGATATTCTTTTTTTTTTTTTTGTAAAGTGTCTGTATATATAAAGACATTTTAAACCCTTCCTACACTCTTGCAATATTCTAAACAATGTTTCTAAACTCTAATTGCTCTAAAACAGCCCAGAATGTCATGATTTCAGTTCTCTGCCTCTGCTGCACTCAACCACCTGCAAGCGATCTCAGCCACATCCACTTCTCCGCTCTGCATGAGAACAGCTGATCAGCTGCTGGAGGAGGCTTACCATGCAGTGTGGGCTGCACAAATATGCAGCAGGTGCTAAGTAATTTAAAATATTTTAGTTTAAATAAAAAATCCATACTGATTGTGCAGCTTATCATCCATCAATCATGAATTGTGTGTCATGTCCAATTTTATTCTGAAAAATTGCAATAGAGCGAGTCCAAGAAAAATGAACCGCAAAGTAGCGAGAGACTACTGTATTATTAGGTTTGAAACAGTTGAGCATCTGTCCTTAAAAGTTCTTGATCTGAAAAATGGTCGATTTAGATGCAATCCTAATAGCAACAATATCATGCTTGGGAAGCATTTTTGTACAAAGCAATGATCACTGTACCTGTTCTCCTTTTAAAGCATTCAGTCTGCTATTTTAAAGGTTGATTCAAAGCGAATGAGAAGGCTCAGTCTAGTATCTCACTGACGAGCGTTTCTACACTTAGAAAAACTAGCAAACTAGTTCTGCCCAAAGTCAGAACTAGTTTTTTACAGGGTATGTGGCAATCATTGTGTGATTGGTAAGAGCGTTGGAGTAGTGTTTGTTTATGTAAAGGGGCTGCAGTACACTGGCTTTTGAGAGCAGTGTCTGCTGAAGGTCTGCTGGCCGAAGCTGTAAGAAAATACAGCCAATGTTATAATTGTTATATTATATTATATTGTTCCATATTTTTCTAACAGAGCACTTTGTTCTCACACTGCAGGCTTACTTGTGGTTCCTAGAGTTTCCAAAAGCAGAATGGGAGGAAGAGCTTTCAGTTATCAGGCTAATCTCTGGGGCTGAGATAGTGTAGGGGCAGGGCAGCCGACTCAGGACCCAAAGGTCCCGCGCTCAATCCCCAGTCAGTGCACATCTCGTGATGTCTCTGAGCAGGACACCCAATCCCGAATTGCTCCCCAGTTGCTTACATAGCTGCCCACTGCGCCACCTGGGTGTATCCCAGGTGCAATGGGTTAAATGCAGAGAGCCAATTTTGTCTTTGTATGGGAACATACAATGATGATAACACATAGCACTTTACATAGTCCAGCTTTAAGACTGGGCTTAAGCCTTTCCTTTTTGATAAATCCTATAGTTAGGGTTGGCTTGTTATGCTGCTATAGGCTTAGACTACTGGAGGACATATTTATCTAATTTCGTAAAATAAATAGTTTACATTTGAAATTATTTCTGTCAATGTGATTGTCAACTTGCCATTGTGTATGGTAAATGGTAAATGGACTGTACTTATATAGCGCCTTTCTATCTGATCAAGACACTCAAAGCTCTACACTACAATTGGTGTCCTCATTTACCCATTCATACAGCACTCTACTAGATCTCTACAAAGCTAATTGAACAAATCATTCTAAAGAGATTAATCAAAAAAAAAAAAAAAAAAAATATATATATATATATATATATATATATATATAAATATATATATAATTTTCTTGTAATTTTCAAATCATATGTTTTTTTTAACGATTGTCTACTGTTGTACTGATAAATATCTCCTGGAGGGTAAACTAGATCTTGGCTGCAAGTACCAAGCTGTGAAATCCTTCATTTTCTACAACTGATAGTGGTTGATCATTAATTATGAAGTTTAGCAACTTCTCTGTAAACATTCGAGCTCCAGGGCTTCAGCGATGTCTTCTTCGTGTAGCAAGCAGCCTGATTTCAGTCAGCCGAGCTCAGTCTGTTCCTCCTCAGAGACGGGCAGACTGAGCGGGGCAGATTAGACGCGGCTGGTCATGGTCAAGTTGCCTGTTTCAGGTTGAACAAAGAGTTGCGCCTCTCTGAAGCCACGGAGCTCGAATGTCCAACATAAAACTAAATTTACGATGGTTTAATGTGGCGCTATGTCTCTGCAGACATTGCACGTTGCTGTCTTGTTTAGTGGTGTTTCTAGTGTAAAATACTTCCACACAGCGGACATGTTTCCATGAAAAGTTTGTTAGATGTTAGCTGTTAGCCACAGTGCTGCTAACTCAGTCCTCACGTTGTAGCTGGCTGCAAACTATGAACTGGATTTCCTGAATGTGAGGAGGGTCTTATTACTCTGGGTTCATGAGACATGACTCCGTTCAGGAAATCCATTCCATAGTTTGAAGCCAACATGTATCATGGATCGGAAATCTCTGCAGGAAGATCGGAAAAATCCGATACGTAAATTATGCTGGTATCGGAGGCTGATACCGATATAAGATTTTTCTTCTTTCTGCACTCTTTTCATTCAATGTTTTCTTTCTCTCCTCCCACCATAGCCGAGTCATTACAACTAAACAGCTATACATATTATAGTCTGTCCTTCCCTGCGGAAAGTATTAGGTTTAATTGTAACGTTTCTCCTGTAAAGCATTGGAATGTCTCTGTTCTGTGTCGCTTCACACATCTGTAATGTAGAAAAATCATCTTCACTTTATGAAATTGTGTTTTAATGTGTGTAAAGGAAACTAAAACTGGTACTGTCATCACCCACTGAAAAACAAACAGCATATGCCTGTCTGATCACTGCAGCAGAACAGATTCATTTTAAAAATGGTAAAACTGCATGGACCATACCTGATGATCTGTCTGGATCAATGAAAACAGATCCAGACCTGTAAGACAGAGACAGGAGCACAGATGTTACAACATGTGGTGGATTGTGTGAAGGGTGAGTAGAGCAGACCTACTTACTCTGCATGTCAGCAGGAATGGCAGCCAGAGCCGATGGATGGAATGGGACTGCATAATCAGCCAGGGTTGATGTTAGACAGGACTGATCCAGGGTCGAGATGTTTGGGATCCGAACAGGGGGCTGGTAGGCCAACACTCTGACAGAAGAGAAACAACTCATTAATTTGTGCAATCTACAACCGTTCATACCTGTTCTTTAAATTTTCTTTTTTCGGCTTTTCCCTCTTCAGGGGTCTCCACAGCAAGACATCCTCCTCCACCTCACTCTGTCCTCTGCATCCTCTGTCCTCTCTCTAACTACCTTCATGTCCTCTCTAACTGCATCCATATATCTCCTCTTTGGCCTTCCTATTTGTCTGTTTCCTGGCAGCTGCATTTCTAACATCCTTCTACCAATATACCCACCGTCCCTCCTCTGGACATGCCCAAACCATCTCAGTGTGTCCTCTCTAACTTTATCTCCCAGTTGTTCAACCTGTGCTGTACCTCTGATGATCTCATTCCTGATCTTCTTCATCCTTGTCACTCCTAACAAGAACCTCAACATCTTCATTTCTGCCACTTCCAGTTCTGTCTCCTGTCTTTTTGTCCATGTCTCTGTCTCCAGACCATACAACATAGCTGGTCTCATCACTGTCTTGTAAACTTTTCCTTTGACCTTTGCTGACATCCTTTTGTCACAAATCACTCCTGAAACTTTTCTCCATCACTCCATCCTGCCTGGACTCTCTTCTTCACCTCTTTACCACATTCCCCATTTTCCTAGGCAGTGGACCCCAAGTCCTTGAAGTCCTGCACCTTTGTGACCTCTGCTCCTTCTAGCCTCACTGTTCCACCTCCTCCCTCTCATTCACACACATGGACTCTGACTTACTACGACTGACTTTCATTCCTCTTCTTTTAAGTACATACCTCCACCTCTCCAAGTTCTCTTCCACCTGTTCCCTGTTCTCACCACTGATCACAATGTCATCTGCAAACATCATAGTCCACCTGTCCTCTACATCTAATCTGTCAGTTACACCACAGCGGTGCAGATGTTTGTGGTAAGGTTTATTGCACGTCATGTTTGCTAGGCTGATAGTTAAATCTCTTATTTCATTCAATTATTGGAATTTTTAAATTTATTTATCTTGTTTTTTTGCTTTCGCACATTTTCCTGTAAGAGTACACAAGCACTTTCAATATAATTATTTTAAAATGTAGCACTGTGCTTATTGCCATTTTGGTCTTTCGACACTTGTTAGTTTTATCAGTGTGTTTGGAGTGTGTTAGTGGAATTGGCAGAACACAAAAGCTAAGCTCTCAATTTGCAACAAACTTTTTCACATTTTAAATAACGTTTCTTTCCTCAACAATCGAACTGCTGCAATTAACACTTGTAACTTGCAGCTCCATAATCTAAAACATGACATAAAAGATGTCAGTAAACAAAATCAAATGCATTGTGGGGGTCAGAATGGGCTAAATGTAAATACAGTGAGAATATTATTTTTGTTAGAGCTAAAATAAAGTTATGCCTATCGGGTGGTGGCTATGACTCACACTTGAGTTGATGCTTTATTGTGAAACTTTGCAAAAACGTCAGACATTGAAATCTTTTCTATTCTTCTCTAACCTGGCCACATGTTTAGCCATATATTATTATTATTATTATTATATTATCGCTTAGCTGATGGTTGTTTAGGTGGTGTCCTAAAAACAACTTGGGCTGCGTAGATAATTAGAGTGAATTTTGGGGGAAACCTGGTCTGATGCAGAGAGGAGGTATCAAACCTAGGGCTGTATACCGAACCGAGGTTCTTTTATAGCATCAACCGAACTGCGTCGGTCAGTGTATGGATTGAAACGTCACTCTTCTTTCGGTGTCAAGTTTCAATATGGGCTGTAACGTGTCACGTGGTTTCAGCAAGCCGGCAGGTAAAATGCAGACGCATGACAAACGGAGTACATGCTTACACCTAGAGCTGCCGTAAAGTCGTATGTCTATGGTGCTGGTGATGCCCACAGACGGGGTTCACGTGTGCAGCACGTGTGTTGTCAAACAGCTTCGATTTATGAGCAGAAAGTTGTTCCATGTTTTTCTGCAAGGGGAGAGAGAGAAGGACTGCAGCCTCCCCACCTCCTCCTCCTCTCTGTGTTAAAGTCAGCCTGTGAGTGTTAGAGAGCATGAACGGCCTGATTCGTTATCTCCACAACCGGACTCGTCTTCATCAAAGAACTCCGAGGACCGAGCAGTGTCTGTGTTTCAGCTGGTGAGTTTACGTTTGTTAACATTACTGCAGCTTAACACGTACATTGCGGTGAATTAAACTAGAATCCATGTAACACTAACTTTAAGATATTAGTGTGTAATTTTATTTTATGGTTACGTAGCTAGCTAAACTCAGAAGCTAACTAAAGATTGACAGTAACAGATAAAGCTTAGTTTGTAAAAATGTGCTCATTCATCCGGTCAGCTGCTTAAAACAGTTCACCTAATGTTCACTGTTTATGTTAATGTTCTCCTCACAGGAGGTTCTGACCCTGAGGAGGACAGAGACTGACGAAAGAAAAGTGAGGTGGGGGCCACAAGACAGTCACAAACTATGTTGTTAAAGTTTGCTGCTTTTTTCTACTGTGGAGGCTGCATGGTGGAGGTAAGATAAGCTGTAAAGGACATTGTTGACCAGTTAAGCTTTTATCTCTCAGCCTAGATCGGGCCTACTCAAATAGTGGGGCAAGCCCCCATGGGGGTGCGCGGAGCAATGCCGGGGGGGGGGGGGGGGGTGTGCATGTGACCCGGGGAACATTTTGTGGCAGGGAGTAGTTTTTTTGTTGTTTTTTTCCCACCATTCTCATTGTCAGGGTGTATTCGGCAACTGTTTGCTAAAATCTGGCAACTCTCAGTCTCACTAATAATAAAGTTATGAAGCAATATGTTTGTCTTGTCGTTTGGGGAGCCATGCTTGAACCGTGTAGCTGTGACACCTCAGATGGTGACGCTCTAGACGCTTGTCACCCACAGCATGCATGCGACAGAGAATAAACTCAAAGCGAGAGCAGTACCTGCTCCACCGCACTGTTTTTAGTTTCGTTTTGATGTGCTGCACATTTCTTTTACTTTTGCAGCTTAATAATAATAACTAATAGTTTAGTTTTTCCTGTGACTTATTTGCAGTATGATAAATGGTAGGAGCATAATATAGGCTCCCAGTGTTTTGTTGATCTTTTTTTTTGGTAAATAATAAATCTTTTTTTGTGGTTTTATTTTTTATTTATTTATTTTTTCATCTTGAGATCCTATGACGTAATCAACTACTCCAGTTCTACTCAAGTTTTATTATGTTAATGTCAAGTTTAAAAATTATGTAGTCGTTCAACCCCTAGTCTGAACGTGTGTAGAAAGCAAGCTATAGTCTGTGAAACCAAAAACAGTCCATGCTCAATAATCCAGGTATACAATCCAACATTTTTCAGTCTTTTTCAGTCAGGTCATATGGACAGTTTCTTTTTTTTGTGCTGAAACATTTCGCCTTCCATCCAGAAGGCTTCATCAGTCAAGGAAGCACACAACACAAAACTGATTCTTCTCCCAAACAGCTTACTCCAAAGTGGAACAAACCAGTTATGTTGGTGCTAAGATGGCTAAGAAACTGAAAATTGTTGGATAGTCTGTGAAACGCCATCCAATGGCTGATTTTTGTACTACAACAAGAAAGATGCACACTGTCAGAGCTGGGCACAGTTCCAGACGATGAACGGTGGATGCCCGCGGCTTAATAACCAGAGCTTCTTATTTATGTACAAAAATATGATTTATCTTATATTTAGTATGTGCCCCTCCCTGGGCTGCCACCTTACCATGGTGGAGGGGTTTGAGTGTCCCAATGCTCCTAGGAGCTATGCTGTCAGGGGCTTTACACCCCTAGTAGGGTCACCCATGGCAGACAGGTCCTAGGTGAGGGACCAGACAAAGTGCAGCCCAAAGACTCCTATGATGAGTAAAAAAAATGGACTTGATGTTCCCTTGCCCGGACGTGGGTCACCGGGGCCCCACTCTGGAGCCAGGCCTGGAGGTGAGGCACGCGGGCAAGCGCCTGGTGGTCAGGCTTTTACCCGTGGAGCTCGGCCGGGCACAGCCCGAAGAGGAGACATGGGTCCCCCTTCCCATGGGCTCACCACCTGTGGGAGGGGCCAAAGGGGTCGGGTGCAATGTGGGATGGGTGGTGGCTGAGGGCGGGGACCCTGGCGGTCTGATTATCAGTTAAAGAAGCTGGCTATTGGGATGAGGAATGTCACCTCACTGGTGGGGAAGGAGCCTGAGCTGGTGTGTGAGGTTGAGAGGTTCTGGCTAGAAATAGTCGGACTCACCTATATGCATGGCTCTGGCTTTAGAACTAGTTTCCTTGAGAGGGGTTGGACACTCTTCCACTCTGGAGTTGCCCCTGGTGAGAGGCGCCGAGCAGGAGTGGGCATACTTATTGCCCCCCATCTTGGTGCCTGTGTGTTGGGGCTCACCCCGGTGAATGAGAGGGTGGCCTCCCTCCGCCTACGTGTGAGGGGACGGATTCTGACTGTCATTTGTGCTTATGCACCAAACAGCAGTTCAGATTATCCACCCTTTTTGGAGTCCTTGGAGGGGGTACTGGAATTTGCACCTCATGGGGACTCCCTTGTTTTTCTGGGGGACTTCAATGCTCACATGGGCAATGACAGTGAGACCTGGAGGGGTGTGGTTGGGAGGAACGCCCCCCTGATCTGAACGCGTGTGGTGTTCTGTTGTTGGACTTCTGTGCTCGTCATGGATTGTCAATAGCAAACACCATGTTCGAGCATAAGAGTGTCCATATGTGCTCTTGGCACCAGGACACCCTAGGCCGCAGTTAGATGATCGACTTTGTCATCGTCTCATCTGATCTGCGGCCACATGTCTTGGACACTCGGGTGAAGAGAGGGGTGGAGCTGTCTACTGATCACTACCTGGTGGTGAGTTGGCTCGGATGGTGGGGGAGGATGCCGGTCAGACCTGGCAGACCCAAACATGCTGTGAGGGTTTGCTGGGAACGTCTGGTAGAGTCTCCTGTGAGACGGAGTTGTAACTCCCACCTCCGGGAGAACTTCAAACATGTTCTGGGGGAGGTAGGGGACATTGAGT